TCCTCTCTTCTTTCTCGCTTTTTCTATTCTTTTCTCCGTTTCCTTTTCTTCTTTTAATTCTTTACCCCCACTTTAGGTAATGAATTTTAAACAATTTAGTATTTAAGGAGGCTCTGTAAAATTAAAGGGATGAATGGATGATAACGGGCCCAACAGGATGAGAGTACGGACATAATTAAAGCTTTGATTGAACCACATTATTTAAAAAATATATATTTTTCAGTAATAATTTGATATTATTTCAACTACACATTATTTAATAAAATAATATCATACGCAAATTCAAAACATTTCATTATTTTTTAATCACATATTTTTTATCAATATACTATTCAAAAATACATTTTCATTTCAATAATGTGGCTCAAACGAGGGCTAAAAAAACATTTTATATTTACATCTTGTTTTATTAACTAACTATTTTTTAATATTACTTTTTTCTTTTGGGATACGAATATAAAAAGAATATATACAAAAGAATTTTTCCTCCTATACAGAAGTCGAGTTCACCGGACCTAGCCATGGGTGGGCCCCACCTAAATGTAAAATGGCAAAAAATTAACTCACCCACTGCCCATTGTGTGTTATTTGTAAAGCCCTCGTGAAGACACCCTTATACGCCAAGTGGGGTTCTATACAGAATGACGAGGCAAAATCTGTGTGAGAACTATGTTCCCGTCTTAAATCTTAAATCACAATACGCACTACAATCTTTATACTTGACTTGATTCTTTAGTATTACATTGGGCTTAGACAAACATAAGAAGGGAAAATTATGTCAAACACACTTCTTATTTTTAAAATTATAAATATACTATTACTAGTTTATATTTAACAAATACTGCTTTTTTAAAATCCACACAAAAACACTTGCAGATAGTTGATAAATGCTTTATGCACTTATTTAGTATTTCCTTACTTAATCATTTATGGTAAATTGAGCTTATATTTGTATAAAATGGTTAATTGTATGTAAAACCACAATTTGGATGTACTTGGATGAATTAGGTCAGAAATAGGTGAAATTGGAGCATAATTTGAGTTGATTTGAAGCATTGAAGCTCAATCTGATTTCAATTGATCGAGTGGAAGTATTAATGGAGCATGGGATAAAAATTCGTAAATTTTGGTAGTTAAATTCAACACATGAAAGGTTTAGAGATTAAGCCCGTGTTTGACAACCATTAAAATCTTTTTATTTTTTTCTTTGGAAAAATGAATTTTGGAATATTTATTTATTTATTATTATTATTATTTTTTTTTTTGTGGAGAATCTGGAGTTAAAAAATAGTAAAAATAAATAAATTGGATTTACATGCAAAATATTTTATTTTGAGAAATGTATAGTTGACTTGAAAATGAGTTTCAGGAAAAAAAAGTTTTTTTTTTTTTTTAATGGTTGTCAAACAAGGGCTTAATAATTTTGGAATGAAGATGACTTGATTGTGAATATTAGAAAACAAGGATTCAAATTGCATGAGAAAAGTAATCAAATTGAAAAAAGGAAATTATTTCTCAAATTCTTTTTCAGAAACCAATTGGAACAAGGATTTTGATATACATCTTGTTCTATAAATGTATACAGAGTTCAAAAATTGAAGACATATGTCAAGATTCATTACCATCCAAATTAGGCTATTGGGACATCAAACTCATTAATCTTTCAAAGAGAGAGCTGAGGACGAAGCTTTGTTCTACAACCCCATCTATCCATTCAAAGCTTTGTAGAAGCTTGTTAAAAAAAGACATCTGAACATAACTTCACACATCTATTTTTTGATTGAAGGAGGAAAATAAGAATCAAAGAGGGTTGATCCGTTGAAGAGATTCAAGAGCTTCGTGAATTTTTTATATATTTTTTCGGTTATTTAATTTTCGGTTATGTTGTATATTAAATTATATTTTTGTAATTAATTTTATGATTGATTATTTGTATATATGCTAGGATAACGTCAATAATTTTTGTAAATATATTAAAGTCACAAATCTATTAAAATATAATTTTTGTAACAATCATTGTAGAGGATAGAAATATGGGAGAAATTCATAGCTAAGAGGTTAAAAGCTTGTTTGGTACGACTTAAAGTCAATTAAAATCAATTTTTTTTTTATCGTTATTTCACTATTTCAACTGTCATTTTTTGAATTTTTCTTTCACAGGTAGGATCCATTTTATTTCTAACGGTACAAACACTAAGTATTACTTATTTCAAAAATAAGAGCAAATGTTTCAAATTTCAAAAATCAGATATCTGTTAAAATTTATTTATGATTTGATTAATTAATTATATATTTGATTAATTAAATATATTAAAGTCACAAATCTATACAATTTGATCACGTATAAACGACTTAATTAGTCAAATATTGCACAAATCAGAATTTTTATATGTCACGAATTATTTTATGGTCACAATTCAAAAATTTTGTAGGTCATAATTTTTTTGTCGGTCAGAAATCAAAAATTTATAAGTCACAACTTCTTCATCGATAAAAAATCACAAATTTTATAAATCACATCTTATTATATAATCACGAATTATCAAATTATCGATCACAAATTAATAATGTTTTAGATCGTTCATTATTGTTTAGTCACAATTTATCTTTTTCATTGGTCACATATTATATATTGATCACAGATTAACCAATTTAATGGTCACAGTCAACCAAATAATTTGTGACCACAACTAACACTTACGATCGCCATCTCACCACTATCTCCAGCAATACCACCACCATTGTCGTCATCAAAATCACCACACCACTTTCCGACAACAACATAATCACCTCAAGAAAATCAACTCATTGTAGAAAACACCACCACATCGTCATGCCACACCACTCGCCTAACCGCCACACCTACAACACCACAGTAGCACATTATGATAAACGCTCAACACCATGCACACCACCAAAGCCACTATGATGCTAACACTATCGCACACCACCACACCTAGTACCACATCACATACCACATGCTCCCAACCACTGTACCTGCAATACCACAAATGCACCCATAGTCGCATAACATAGTCGTACCACCACTAAAGCTTTCTATTCCCACCACCTCACTACACACCTTTACCTCTATTGTATCATAGAACCACCAGCGCACACAACACAATACCATCATAGCACTAGTTACCACAGCAGCACACTTCCCCCAAATTGCCAATCACCGCTATACTAAAAAAAAAAAAAATAAAAAATAAAAAAAAACAAAGGAATGGGGAGATCTACAGCATCGGCCACCTGTCCTAATATGCAGCACTCGATACCATCCTACCATCGTCGTTGCCTGCTTCTCAGTGGCGATGAACACCCCAATCACCGCAAAATAGCAGAAAAGAAAACAGCAAAAATTAAACTCGAAGAGGAAAGAAGAAGAAAAGGCAATGAGCACAGCTGATTCGGGGAAAATGTGATGAGTGCACGACGTTGCGGGGTGGTGGCTTGCGTCAGACTGTGATGATGGTTCTTCAATGATGACGGTAGGCGCCTTAGGCGTTGGAGTCATAAGGGAAATAGAGTAATTAGAGAGAGATCAGGGAGAAAGATTGATATAATTAATTTTGATTGATTATTAATATTGTACTATTTAATAAATATTAAATTATTAATTATATATGAACTATGAAAGATGAAAGATGAAACTTAAAATCTTATTTATGATATTGGATCTTAAAAATCATGCCTCCATGTAATTTTCACTAGAAATATACCGCTATAATCTGCACGATCCATTAGATGATCTTTTAAACGTTAATGCTATTTTATATCTTCGTATCTTTCACAGAGATATAGAAATGTGATGATATGTTTAGTTCTTCATTAAAGAGATTATTAAACAGATCCAGAATATTAATCTTCATATCCAAATGTGTGTATCTTAAAATGGATGAAAGCAGAGAGATTCTTGATCCTAATATTTGGCAGTTATTTAAGTCTCATAAACGCTTTCACATTAGTTGTCAAATTAGGTAATTTAGTATAAATATTAGATTGTTTATATAAAATTAATCTCAACCAATCTTGCTATTCGATTAAAGTTGGTGTTGCTTGAAAACAAGATTAAGTATTTAGTTATAATGAGAATGATACTTTATCCACTATTCTATTACTCGGCTACGATACCATGTTGTTGCAAAATCTCGTCGATCGATCATGATTCAATACACTTAAACAGTTAAAATTAACCACCCCCACTATCATCACCACTGCGGCGACCACCACCATCAAAACACCACAAAGTTCCACCGCCACTAAACCACAACCAAGCCAACCAAATTTTAGATTTGGATTTCGGCCAAGCCATAGCCACAACCACCACCTTCTCCTTCTCCTCCTCCACCTACATATGCCATTCATCACTTCCTTTAATGACTTGTCGTTGCCACCACCAAATGGTAAGAAACAAATAGTCGACAACTTAATATTGATACCAATCGGCACAACCACCAACTCCTCTTTCTACGAAGTGGTTTGACGTCGTGGCGTCCTCGTAGTGTGGTGGTTGCTTTCACTAATTTTACAACTTGTTTCCCAATAATTCAATAAAATCTTTTATTTATTAAATTTCATCCTAGAATTTACTTGAATTTAGATGAGAATTTATGAATTTGTGATTTTTTCTGTGTGTATTAGTGGTCTTGTTTTTGTTGGTGGTCGTGGTGGTGGTAGTGCAGATTCGTGTTGATGGTGGAGGTTATGAAAATGTCTGTCATTGATAATGGTGGTTGTGGTGGTGGAAATAGGTAGCGACAATGGTGGTGATGGTTTTAGGTAGACTTGATGATTTATTTGTGGTGATTTTCAGTAGATGTTGTGGTGGATGAACATCGATGATGAATGTGTAACAAGTTACATTACAAGTGGTTATGATTGTTGGAAAGACAATTAGTGGTAGTAACTTGCAGAACAGTAAAATGCAGAAAGTAAATCTTGGTGACTAGTAGAGTATCGTGATAGTATGATATCCTAAAGTGAAATTACCGCTATTAATTGTTGAGACCTTTGCGGGCAATCATTCTCAAGATACTATTATCAAGCAAATCAGTTGTGCAGTGATCAGAAATGGTTTTAGAACTCTCAAGTGTGTGTGTATATATATTAACTAGTTTGACCCATTGAACTATTTCAAAAATGATTAAAATAAATAAAAACAAATATTATTTTAATCAAGAAAGCCAAGAACCCAAGGCCAAAGTCCAATCAAAGACCTTTTAATTATTGCGTGGGATGTGATTTGAACTCCGATCTTCTACACAAATTCCACACTTTCCACCAATTGGACACTTCATCTAAATTAGTTATTTCTTTCATATACTTTATTTTTTGTACAAATATCTAACAATCTCTCACATGAAAGTAACAAGATAAATATAAATATTATTCTAGAGTACAGTAGAAATCACGCAAGCTTAGATGCCTATCAACTTGAACCCTGACTTTGTATATTCTATTGAGTTTGCTAACTGTAGAGTGAACATGTCTCGGGCTATATAATTATGGTTGCAAATTGAGATAATATAACACACATGACTTTTAGAACAATCATTGAGTTCTTGCGGTTGTGTTCATTTCGACCGTGAACTTTCTCAGTTTTTTTGAGTGCTCTAGAGAATTAGCCTCGATTCTTAAAAGAAGTAACCCCAGTTCCACACTCATATAGGTACTTTTATCAAGGGTGCATTGTATCTAAACACCTCACTAAATATTAGCTATAGTAAGCATTAAGAGTATTTGCTCATCCTCTAATTAGTACAGTTGGTACTACTCATCTTAGGAAGAGTTTTGGAATAAATCCAATGTATTATCCCTACAGATCATTCCAATAACTTTGTTATCACATTAAACCTTATCCATGGGATATCCAATTGCAAGATTGGGTTTCCATTATAGGTGAATTCCCCTCGATGTTTTCTGAACTAACCTCTAGCTAATCTTTTGGTTAATGGGTTAGCAATATTATCACTTGATTTTACATAGTCAATAGCTATAACTCCATCCTTAAGCAGTTGATGCATAGTATTCTGTCTTTTACGAATATGTCTGGACTTTTTATTGTAGGATAAATTTTAAACTCTTAAAATAGCTGCTTGACTATCACATGGATAGAAATAGCTGGACGTGGTTTAGACCACAAAGGAACATCCATAAGAAAATTCCTTAACCATTCAACTTCCTCACCTGTATTATCTAAAGCTATGAACTCAAATTTCATATAGATCTTGCAGTGCAGGTTTGCTTCGTGGATTTTGATAGTGCTTTTGCACACTTGTTTAATACCTAAATAAGCTTAAATATTGATTAAATGAGCGAATTTCTATTCACAATTATGTAGTTATTGCTTTCATAAGTAAAAAATCACTCAAGAAAAAAAAAGAACAATGCAAATGGAGTGAAAAGGGACCAAAAGCGTACAGAATTGTGAAGCTGGGGACCAAAATGTGCAAGTGTCGAAAGTTCAAGGACCTGGGGTTGTAATTTTTTGAGGGCGTAATTGATATAAAGTCAAAATCTAAGAATCAAATTGTGCATTTGGCATGCAATTATCTAAAGGACGAAGATGCAAAAAGAGAAAAATGGGAAGGTGGCGCCGTACAGTAGTGCCGCAGCACCCCTTTTCCATGTTACGGCGCCACGTCTTTCTCACCAAGGACTATTTTAAATTATTTTCAAAAGTCCAAGGACTTAGCTGTAAATTTTTTAGGTTTTTATATAAAAACTTTAGCTGGGTCTACATTCATATTGATTCTGTCGATTTCTGCTTCTTCTTCTTTTTTTCTTTTTTTTTTTCTTTTTTTTTCCTTTTTTTTCTCCCTTTCTTTCTTCTTTTTTTCTTTTTCTCCCTTTAATTTTTTTGGCATTTTTGGAAGTAAAATCAAGAGCACAAGGAGAATATATCTAAGGATTTGGAGAAATATTTGGTAAACTCATAGTCAAGCTTTAAAAGGGGTTGCTACAACTTAGTGTTTTCTCAATTATTTAGCCATATTTGTAATGGATTGTGAAAAATATTTTCCGTTTTATCATTTTATAATATGGGCTAATTCATTGTGCTGGGATTTATGATATTAGTCTAACCTAGTTTTTAATTAATTTTGATATTTGCTCTATAATATTAAGTTATTTGTTTCATGTGTTTTTACTATTGTTATTATTGCATTTTCATGTATATGGCAAATGAATGATTATGTTAGTGATTTGTACATTATTCGAAAGAAGATTTTGCATTTTAGATCAAATAGTAAAAATCTTATGTTTGTGTAGATGATAGAGATATACTCCTATCCTTAGATGATTCATTGAGCTATTTTCACAAAAAATTAATGCGGTTGTTTGGTTTTAATCGATATAGATATATAGTATGTTAAACCAATCAATTAGGGTTAATTTCGTTTGAGAGATGTAATTGACTAAAATTGAAAAATCGAGTCTAATATCGTAAATGAGTAACTTGTTAATTGGCTTGTGGAGTAATTAATTAGAAGGCGGTTACGCGAAACCATGAATTCCAACAACGTCTTCTTCCAAAATTTCCAAGATTTTATATTTTCTAAATTTTTAGTTATTTTCCAAATCTAAATATCTCATTGTGTGTTTGTTTCTTTTTTCTTACTATTAGAATCAAATTAATTAAAATTGTGTAATCGAAAGTATCTATTCCTTGAAGAACCGATAACTCGAACTCAAAATGTCGACTTTATTACTTGAACGCGACCCATGTACTTGCAGCATGCACGTTTAGCGAACGAATTTTCAGGATACGACACCGACTGCTAATGTAAATACATATCCACTCGTAGATTTGCTTTCATTGGTATCGAAAATCCAGTTAGCATCACATTATCTCTCAAGTACAGTAGGGAATTTGGTATAATATATTCCCACTCTAAAATGTATCTCAGATACCTGAAGACTTGAATGAGAGCATCCAAATGTTCATTGTTATGATTACTAGTATACCAACTAAGTCTATTAACCACATATGCTATATTAGGTCTTGTGCAGTTCATGAGATACATGAGACTATCGATCACTCTATCATATTCTAAAGCGGAAACACTAGGACCTAAATGTTTTTTAAAACGACTGCTTGCATCATAAGGTGTTTTAGTAGGAATACAATTGTATTGGTTAAACTTCTTAAACATTTTTTTCAGATAATGTGATTGTGTTAAAGTAATTTCTTCGGAATGTTTTACTATTTTAATTCTTAGAATAACATCAACAATACCCAAATCTTTCATTTCGAAGTGCTTCTTCAGAAACTATTTGGTCTAATCAATCACATCTAAACTAGTTCCCATTATCAGCATATCATCAACATATAATCAAATTATCACACCTCAATTATTTTCAAATTTGTTATATATGCATTTATTTGCTTCATTTATCACATAACCACTAGATGTCAAAACTGTACCAAATTTTTCATATCATTGCTTAGGAGTTTGTTTAAGGCCATAAAGAGATTTTTAAAGTCTGCGTACTTTATCATCAAGGCCTTCTACAACAAATCTCTCAAGTTGGTCGATACATATCTCTTTTTCTAAGTCTACATTTAAAATAACTGTTCTGATATCCATTCGATGTATAATAAGATCATACAACGAAGCAATAGCAATTTACATCCTAATAGAGGTAATCCTAGAAACAGGGGAATAAGTATAAAAGAAGTCAACTCCTTCTTTTTTGTCTATAAAATTTAGCGACAAGTCTTGCTTTAAACTTATGAATTGGACCAAAGGGTTTAAGTTTTTTTTAGATAACCATCTATACCCAATGGTCTTACATCCGCGAGACAAGTCTATTAACTCCCAAGTGTTATTGGACATAATGGAATCATATTCACTATTTATAGCTTCCTTTCAAAATATAGAATTTGGTGAAGACATTGCTTCATCAGGTACAAAGATTATTCTCTACTAAGTAGGTTAGAAAGTCAGAATCGAAAGAAGTAATGGTCCTAGGTCTTTTGCTTTTCCTAATATCAATTTCTTTTAATTCTGTAGGCTCCTCTCTAACACTATGAGGAACACAAAAAGAGCTATATGGTCCTGTTGATTTTTCCTTAAAAGAAATCTATTTTCAAAAAATTCAGCATTTCTAACTTCAAAAATTGTGTCCTTTTCAATCAAAATATTTTTAGAGTCAATGATTAAAAAACTGCAAGCATTAATGTGAAGAGCATAACCTATTAAAACACAATCAATAGTATTCAGACCAAGTTTAGTTTTCTTAGGTGTTGAAATGAAGTTTTAGCTAAACAGTCCTGCACTTTAAGATATTTATATAAATGTTCTATCCTTCCACATTTCATAAGGGAACTTATTATTTTTCTTACTGAGAATTCCGTTAAGATTATAACATGCAGTAAGAAGGTTCCTCCCACATGTCAAAAGGCAATCCAAAAGAGTTTAGCATTAAAATAACCACCACCATCATCACCACCACTGCAGCGACCACCACCATCAAAACACGACTAAGTTCCACCACCACTAAACCACAACCAAGCCAAACAAATTTTAGATTTGAATTTTGGCCAACACCACAACCACCACATTCTCCTCCTCCTTCTACATACAACATTTGTCACTTCCTTCAATCACGTTTTGTTGCCACCACCAAATGGTAAGTTGATGCCAATTGGCACAACCACCCCATCTTCATTCTACGAAGTGGTTTGACGGGGTGGCATCCTCGTAGCGTGGTGGCTACTTTCATTAATGTTACAATATGTTTCCCAATAATTTAATAAAATCTCTTATTTATTAAGATTTCATCCTAGAATTTACTTTGAATTTAGATGAGGACACATGAATTTGTGATTCTTTCTGTGTGTGTTAGTGGTCTGTTTTTTTAGCCATGGTGGCAGCGTAGTGCAGATTCGTGTTGATGCTAGTGGTTGTGGTGGTGAAAATAGATAGAAACAATGGTGGGGATGGTTTTAGGGTAGACTTAATGATTTATTTGTGGTGATTCTTTAATGGATGGTGTGGTGGATGCAACACCAATGATGAATGTGTAATAAGTTACGTTACAAGTGGTTATGACAGTGTAATAATGTATATTATAAATGGTTAAGGAGGTGACAACAAAAAGATTGAATGTTAGATAATTTAATGTCAATTTGGTTGTCATGGCGATTGGCTAATTTAATGTCAATTTGGTTGTCATGGCGATTGGCAACATATCTTTTTTCGAAGGTTTTAAAAAATGCACGACTTTTACGAAGTATTAATCATAACATCATTCGAGAGAGAGCATAAAAACGAAAATAAATATCCTAATTGAATTGGATATTTATGTCTAATAACCTGCTTAACATGGCTATTTGAAAGTTAAAAATTACTTTTAGATATGTTTAATTTTGTAAAATGGTTTGAAATGATTTCTAGAGAAAGTTGATTTAAAATAAATTTCTTAAAATGTTCTTTTACTAGAAAGAGAACACGCTCTAGAAGTATTGAGTTTTTTTTTTTTTTTTAAGTGAAAATATTGAAGTAATTGCATAATACTAAGCGTCCGTTTGGCTCCCATTATTCCACAATATAATTAGAGAAGTAGTAACTTGGAGAATGTGGTTAAAAAAGATTTTTTTTTAATTTATGTATAATATTATTTTATTAAAAAATGTACGTTGATAAAGAGAGAAAAAAATGAATTACAATTTAATAGAGAATAATGGCCAAACGGGGCTAAAATGTACCTTAGACGAAATCAGCTTGTTCAGCCAAAAAAATAAATGAAGCTGGTGAGTTTCCAGCGCCGAAAGAAAGCGGCACTTGTTTCTAGAAAATAGCAGCAGGCAATTCCGCATTTTCCCCGTGCATGCGCCACGTCTTCAAACTGGACTGCACGTGGCGTAGCCACCAAAATCGCCGCCAGCGGAGCCGTAAGGTGCTCCATCTCGTGCGCAACAATTAATTTTTATTTTTTTTTATGTCGTTGTTTGATCCTCATTCTTTGGAGAAAATGAATTATTCAACAGTATTTTGACATAATTTTAATCACAAATTTTTTAATAAAATAATATTACAAGTAAATTCAAAATCTTTTATTATTTTTTAGCCATACATTTCACATCAATACACTATTCAAAAATTCAGTTTTCCCATCAAAATGGGACTCAAACAAGGGCATAATATTTAAGCCTGACCCCTTGACAATTTTTTATACTTATTTTGAGTCATATATTTTTCATGAAAATTTATTATTTATTTAATTTTATTTTACATTTTATCCACATATTCTTTCAAAATTTACTATTCAAAAACTCATTTTCTAAAACAAAATATATATATATTGTTAAACATGAGCTAACTCTTTTGCAAATAATATACCAAAAATATGGATGCCTCCTACCTTTTTCTAGGGATGGCATTGTAGAAGGGAAGAGGACTAACGTCTAGCTAAACTCCATTTTATTCAAAATACGTTTTTCTATATATATATTTTTTTCAATCTATAGATTTTTTAATAAAATAATATTACATGTTATTACTATTCCAAAATATGTTTTTCTCCTAAAGTTTGATTTTAGTGGAGCCCAAAATGCCTGATCTCTTAGAAAATTTTGGAGGTAGAATATAATGAGAATAAAATTAAATTATTCCCATTTAGTGCATAATTGATAAAACTTAAATTATAATTTAAACTCAAGTATGCATTTTTACAGTCTATGGTAAAACAATTTATTAATAATTTTTTATCTATAAATTCGGTAGAACCTGTTGGGAAAATTGAGTAATTTGTGTGTAGATTTATTTAACAATTAACACAATAAAATAACAAATACAATTCAAGAATAATATAATATAAAATAGAGAAAAGATTTAGAAAACAAGCCTTGGGAGCCACGTCTAGGACGCTATCTTAAAGTAGTGTTGCCTCCCCTTCGTGCGGATTCTTTCAGCACTACACGACTCCAAAATAAAAATCAATGTGACTCTCCTTCTATGGGCACGACCATAGAGAGAGAAGTAAACAAGTCTCACATCAAGTTGCCACAAACTATAGAAACATAATATAAAATATAGATGTAGTATTTTATTTCCTAGTATCTCAAGTTCATTTTCTCAAATGAAAGAACTCTCTTTTATAGGGATAAATTTAACCCCACAATTAGACCATTAAAATATAAGTTACCATATGTTTTAATTTTTATGTTAAAACTTAAAATTAAAGTGCTTTAATTTTTTTTTTTTGAAAGGTTGAAACTTAAAATAAGTTACAACAATCCTCCACAAGTTTTAAGCTTTCAAAATAGGGAAATATATATATAATAGTGGAAACATTATACTGTGTATTAGGTGTATGTGTCTTTTGGACTTGAACCTCATTTAGTGATAACAATTTCCATTTGAGGGAACCATAATGTATTAACTCTTGAATTACGTCTCTTTGGTCAAATATCAATTGTTCCACACACCGTATTGATTTAGGCTCAGTTCATAGCGAGTAACGCTGTTAATGGCCATGCGCTCTAATCTTGATTCTAGTAAGCATTTCTAGGGAATAGCCCAATCTCATAGCCACGACTTCATGGCAACTCTTATATAGGTGAGTCCTTCAAGGGCGCGTGTGGCCCACATCTCACGAGAATTCTCGCATCGGTATTCATTCAGGGTTAAACCATTAATAACATCAAATTTATTAGCATTATCACAATATGGATGAGCTCAATATAAGTAGTGCTATTACAAATTACGCAGTACGAGTTGTTTCTACCACCTTGAACCTTATTCACGGGATCTCCAATCACAAAGGTTGGATTACTCCCGAAGATGACTCCCTTATGGGCTTAAACCTATCCCCCTCGATGATTTATATATGTCCATTTTGGATTATATATATTTATGTCCCTCTTGGACAATAATATGGTACCATAATATTTGCAAAGCTTTTCTTCTTCATTTGCCCATCTACATATCTGCAAAGTCACCTAAGAATTTTTCAAAATGTCAATATTAATTATTGCATATATAATTATAATAAGATAATTTCATGATATTGGCTTTTAGTAACATGTTTGGGGAAATGTATCCATTGAGCTCTTGCATTTCATATTCGTATTCCGAAGATATCCATCGTGTAGAGCTTCTTTGAAAAATTTCCATGTCTACAAACACTTCTAAACATTTCACAAAATATTAGTGTCACAATAAATGAGAATAACTTAGATAGATTTAAATAAAGTATAACATTTTGATATTCGTTTAACTTCTCTCCGAGCATTGACCAAAGAAATGAAAAATATATTAAATAGTTGAATATCCTCACATTTCAAGGATATCTAACTTGAATTGAGTAAATATATGATCTTACAATTTATCTATTTTGATAGGATTAAGCATGGTGAGGAGATGGTTGATGCACATGTTTATCAATCTCACACTTTCATGACTTCTACCATCCAATATATAAACAAATTCTGCTTTAAAAGCATTTGCAAAATATTAGTCATAATGCTAAAGAATTGTCACCTTGGTAAACTAAATCACAAATTAAACATCAAGAAATCACATCGTTTTGTGAAAGAAATGAGTGAAACGGACTGCAAGGTAGAACCAATTCTCCATTCACTCATTAAAATTATAACCTTAGAAAATTAAATTCTCAAATATACATTGTGGTAAAATTGGTAGTAACGAAGGTGTAAAGAAAATAAGGACTAGTAAGTACCATTTTTCTTTATGTACCACATTTGTCCTATAATCGAGAAGACTCTTAGAGTGACTCAATAAAATTTAAATGCTTGAGAAAAACTCCCCATTTCATATATTACGCCTTGAATGACTAATTAATAAGAATTAAAGATGTATTAATGCTAGTAAGAGCTACAATTTCAAGACTTTTAAAAGAACAATATTTTACTTTAATTTCCCGAACAAAGAAATACCCTTTAAAGAATGTCATGAGACAACCCAAAAGAAGTACGATAAGATGAAGTTGCAATTATGTATGAAATAACATGCTCCAAAATAAGAATCATATAAACTCTATTGACATTACCAATCCACCTTAAAAAGATAGAAGCAGAAAATAGAACATAATACATATGAAAACTTCATTTGATGGTTCCGTTAATTATCAATACCCTCGAAAATGGCTTGAGGATATTGTCACGAGTATTTGAAGGTAAATAAGGCCTAGTTGATGTTTCTAGGAATGCAGGAACTTAAAAGGAAATTATATATCAAGCCTATGCACTTTTTTGGAGCAATTACTGGAAAAAGAATGATACAACTAGACGTGCCAAAAGTTCTAATAAAGCTAGATAAAGAAATAAGATCTACCAAATTTCAAACATAGAAAACAAGGGGCTAATCTTTATTTCTTTCCTACATTAGAATTCAAACAGTTAATATTAAAGAATTCCATTAAGTTTAAGAACTCAACTTGTTTTCTCAGAAAGCAGTGTGATTACACCGAAGATCAAAACATGAGGAGCATTCCAGAGTGCTTGAAGTTATTCATGTGAGATGGGTTCAAGATTCCATGGACAGAGATATGGAGATGAGTCGAATATAGAAACTCAGTACACAAATCTATGAAACCTCCAACTATTATGAAATAAAGCTCCAAGTACTTAAGCCGTCCATCAAAACCAGGAACAGGGTTCCACACCCTGACCCTAAAAGATTTAAGATACGATACATATCTGGCTATAGAGCTCCACATGTGCCACACCCCAACCAAAAGAAACAGTGTCCTAGAAAGGACATGCCCACGAAAAGAACCCATTTTTCCTCAACTATGAACCTGGGGTCCTAGACCAAGATCTGATAACTGCTAAAGAATGATTTTAAAGAACCAAGTTTCTTCGTTTCTTGATCACTTCTCTATGGAAATTATTGAAATTGCAAATTACTAATCAAAGAAATTGCCATAAAATTGAAGCACTTCTAAATTGCTGCTTTGCTCAATAGTTCAACAGTAGCCGTTTTTTGCTCTCCCCATTCTTTATTTGATCGTCCCTTGCACTCATCTTAATAATCAAAATTGAGTAACAACTAATACCATAACAGACGGTCTTGGAATCTTCTTCTCTGCACAGCAATAAACGTAGTAGAATAATCAACTTTTTTTTCCCCTTAACTTAGAGCTAAATCATAATCCCGAGGGAAAATACTGAAGGCCTTCAAAGAAAGCTGGAATTTTTAGGGTGGGGATTGGAGAAAGTAAGATTGCGTCTAACTTCTGAAAAGAAACGGATTGCTGAAAAGACGCCAATGGATTTAAGCTAAGGAACATAAAAAGCCTGATGATCGAGAATATATCGAGTCATGAACAAAATATACCGACACTCCAAATCACATTTTCCGTGTTTAGAAGTAATCAAATAAGGTCTTAAAAGACATCATAAAAGGAACATATCATCTATATAAATATTTTATATGTGCCAAAAGTGCCTTTCTAAGCCTAATTTCTTAAAAAACCATGATGCATATTTCTTACTTTCTAAGATTCAGTTCTATGCACAAATCACTACAACACGACATTAGATTGTTGAGAAAATTGAGTGATTTGTGTGTAAATTTATTTAACAATTAACACAATAAAATAACAAATACAATTTAAGAATAATATAACATAAAATAGAGAAAAGGTTTAGAAAACAATTTTTGTGAGTCACGTTGAGGACGCTATCCTAAAGTCGTGTTGTCTCCCTTTCGTGCGGATTCTTTTGACACTACACGGCTTCAAGATAAAATCCATGTGACTCTCCTTCTATGGACACGACCATAGAAAGATAAGTGAACAAGTCTCACATCAAGTTGTCACAAACTATAGAAATATTGTATAAAATATAGATGTAGTATTTTGTTTTCCTAGTATCTCAAGTTCATTGTCTCAAATGAAAGAACTCCCTTTTATAGGGATAAATTTAACCCCACAATTAAACCATTTAAAATATAAGTTATCATACGTTTTAATTTTTATGTTAAAACTTAAATTTAAAGTGCTTTAATTTTTTTTGAAAGGTTGAAACTTAAAATAAGTTACAACAGAACCTACCACGTAAATTATAATATAAATACTCCTAAATAAACACTTACTTTTTTGTTTATTTATTTAATATGATTTAAATTCAAATTATAAATAGTAAGAAAATAATCTTCAAGAAAGGAGCGTGACATTTGGTATGTTGTCACGTTTTCTTTTTAATTTTATTCTTTTGATTTATATGGTGAAATTAAATAAATAATAATAAATATTATTATTCATAAAGTGTGGTTTGATAACGTGTTTATATAGAGGTGAAAGATGAAGGTGGTCATATAATTCATTTATTATAACATTTTCAGAATTGACTCCGCACTGCTCTAAATAAAATAAAATTTGGATTCACCAATCAGAGGATTGTCAAAGATTTCAAGTTGAAAGGGAAATAGTTAGCCAATTTTTTGTCTGCTCACAAATAAAAGGCCATTCTTTATTTTTATTTTTTTTTGGTCTTATTTTTCAGATTTCTATAAAATATTTTGGCATCGATAGAGCTCCTGATGCATATCAAGTAGAATTTTTCTTAGAATGTATGGTTTAGGATGTACTTCTGAATTTGGGACGTATAAGATAAGTAGTACGATCAATCACTCATAAAAATATATCAAAATATTTGTATTAGTGCTTGTTTGTTTCTCATTTTTTCTTGAAAAAAGGCATTTTTGGACTGTTGTATTCCTGCAAGTGGCACCCGGTGTGAGATAGGGAGTAAGAAAAAAAACTATTGTGTGATTAACAACGGTAAAAAATGCTATTAAAATGTACCGCCAAAATGAGAAACAAATCGACGCTTAATCGGAAGAATAAAACGGAAATTGACTCAAAAAGTCAAACTTGATCAATTACAACAATTTACCAGAATCAAAAAACTTAACTTACAAAAGTTCGACAAGTTTTCTTAACAAATTGATAAATTTTATAAATCCTAGATTCGAAAGCAATTAAATGAAATTAAACTGATAAAAATACATTTGTTAGGGTGACCAAAGTGTTTATACAACACGACTCCTAAACTTTTAGCACGACAAGACTCGCTTGAGTTGTTCAATATGGAAGAGATTTTTCTAAGCAAAAAATTGATTTTTAAAGAATGTGTGAAAAAAAAAAAGGAAAAAATTATGAATTTCACGTGTGATTGAAAATGATTATGAAATAAAATATTTTTGAAAAAAATCTCTCCAAACAAACCAAAAATAAAGGTCATGTCCATAAATTCCCACACCAACTGTATTCTTCATTTAGGATTATACATCTCAAACATTATGAAATGTTCTTGCTACTTTCAAAGTGCTCGCAATGTGCTTTGCAAAAACCGGAAAAAAAAAAAAAAAAAAAAAAAAAAAAAAGATTTCGATTCGAAAAATCGTTAAACGACAAGATCAAATTAACAATTTAAAAATGATTACTCTTATAAATTTACATACTAGAGCCCCACCTTTCAGCTTGTTTCAAATGATTTTCGAACATCTAAAAATGTTCTCGATACCACTTTAAGGTACACGAAACATACTTTGAAAAACATCTTTCAATTTAAAAAATCTATAAACAGTTAATTGAAAAGATTGAGTAAATTATGACTTAAAATGGATTTAATAATCCTATTTTGTGTCGCTAATCCGACGTCAATTTAAATAAAATTCTACTTGACGTAAATTGGGATCTCTCACTTGAATAATTAAATATTAAAACATTATGAATTTCCTAAGTGTTACAAAATAAATGATTATTTATTAATTAAAATGGTTTGTAATTTTTGCATAAAAACCCTTATAAACTAAAGAGGAAACTAGGCCAAATGCTCTAAAAAGTGACTCAATTAGATTAATACCCTAAATTAATTAATTATCACATAAACCATGTATTAATTACGTCCTAAATTAAAACAAACCTCCAAAACCCAAAATCTCCTAACTGAGTACAGAGGAAAGATAGTAACATCTAGGGAAACCATAATGAAATCTGAACTTTAGTTCTCGTTGCTTACAGACCAAGAAAGAAGAAACTCGAACACTAAATAGCACACTGCACACCAGCCAAATTGTCTGACAAACAAATGAAGAATCATCACCAACTTTCCAAATTTTTCTTAAGCCGTCGACATTAGAAGAAGAACCTAGAATGTTGCATAAAATTTTCCATCCCACCGCCATTGAAGAACTTCCCAGGAACCTGCTGCTTTACTGCCTTTTTGCCACCGCCATGGATAATTCTGGAAAATCTAATATATATATATATATATATATATATATGTTTGCTTCATCGGAAGCAAGAAGAAAAAGAGAGATTGAGAGAGAGGTAGTAGGTAAGTGAGAGAAAAGTGTGCTGCTGGAAAAATAGTTAGTGGAGTGATTATTTTCATTTTGAGTGACATTAGTGTATTTGTTCGAAATTGTATAACTAATTTTATATCAATAAAATTGTTGTTATTTTTTTTATTTGCTATCACTTTTTTAATCTGTGTAATTTTTTTAAATTTGTGACACTTTTTTGAATTTGTCACTTTTTAAAAAAAAAAATCTGTCACTTTTTTGAATTTTTATCACTTTATTTTTTAGTTTTTGTCACTTTTTTTTAGTGTTTATCATTTTTTTCAATCACATTCTTAATTTTTATTAATTTTTTTAGTGACAAACATCATTTTTTAATAGAAGTAACATTGTATGTCATTTTTTTAAGAAAGAAGTGACACTTAACTCTTAAAAGTGACATTGTATCACTTTTTTTTAATTAAAAAGATACATTGTGTCACTTCTTAATATCACATTGTATTTTTTACTTCAAAAAAACTTTTCATATGATTTTTCAAACGACCGCTAATTTTAAGGGTACTTTTGTAAGTTGCCCTAAACTAAAAGTAGTTAGTGAAAAAAGTTCCAGATTAAAAGCACAAAGCCTCCATTGTAGGCCCATTAATAAGAATTTTGTTTGCCTCATCTCTAAATTCCAGTTAGACTCTCTGGCGAATCATCAAAGAGCTTTATGTAATTCTTTAAAACCTTGAGAAGAACGCTTAGTCTATGGAGTTCCAGGGAGGAGTATATATAGGTCAAGGGAGGCTCATTTGCTTCAAACCAAGTAGGAAAGCAACTTGAGAGCTTTCAAGAGAGAGAGCATGTACTTGTTAACTCTTGGAGAGTTATATTTTCGAGAATGCATGTTTGATACATTGTATTAATATTTGTATAAATTGTGTTAAGAATTTATTTAGTAGAAGATCGATATGGCAATATGTTTAAATTTTCGTTTTTGGGCCACTTCTTGATCATTGGACATATAAATGGGCCTTCTTTCTAAGATAGCTTCGATTTCTGGTTTAGACAGTTCTAGTAATATGATAGATAGCAATGAGACAAATCAATTAATTAAATAATGTAATAGGTATGCAAAATTAATCCAGAAATGCAAGAATTAAATTAAACTGCTAGTTTTATATTTAAAACAAATAAACAATGGGTTATAAAACAAATAAGCGATGGGGTTTATCTCATCTAATAGAAAAATGTATCTAGTCTAGCATGGTCTTAAATAAATTAGAAGAAGAATAATGAAAAAATATCATTCGAATCATGAAAAAATATAAAAAATATTGATCTTCAAGTCTAAAGTTAAATTCTTCAATTTTTGTTAGGGCATGATCTTCTCTCCCTAAAATAATGAGTTGACCTTTTGTTCTTTATGAATTTTATGATATTATTGTGTATGAAGAGACATTAGAGAGCTTTTCATGTGTAGTTCTT